AATTTAAAAAAGAAACCCATTTGTATGAAATAAAAATAGATTTTGCATGCATTTCATTTTTCACCTGTGAACTGAATACTGTAGGACAATAAGTATATGGCCTCGTATCTGTGGGACAACCAGCCAGTTAAAGATGAACTTTGACTGGCCCAGAACTAAAATGCCTGGGGGCAGCTGTGTAGCTCAAGTAACTGATTAGAAACTGATACTGAAAAATGACTGAGAACTAAACTCCAGGAGGTCACAAAAAGATTAAAAGCAAAGCAATGCTTTTTTCCACCACAACCCAGGTCATTATAGAGTATGATCATAGCCTTCCATAGCATTGTCTAGCAGAACTAGCACCAATCCCCCCTCAGTATATCTAGAGTAATGTAGGTTTCTAAGGAATAAGCTGCATCTATGTAAGTATCTAATGTTTCAGAATATCAGCCTTGTTTGCCTGAATACTATCATGCCTCGTGGAGTTCTACTGGGTAATAGTGCACAGTGCCAAAGAAATGTCTTTCCTCCTCCCCTCACTGCTGCTCTCTTTTCTTCAGCAAAAGAGAATTCACTTCCTGTATGTATTTTGCCTTCTGAACTGAAGGAAGCAGAGCTTGTCTGGAGGGTCCCATACCTTTCTACAGCACTGGATCACAGGTCTCTTTCTCAAGGAATCATCCAAATACTTCAACTCCCTGCCGCTTGCCTGTCTGCATCCTTTAACTTCCCCAAAGCAGCACAGGGAGGCACGCTGTGGGCTCTGGAGAACTAGGCAGCCAGACATTGAAAATGAGCAGTCAGAAAATGCAGCGTTTCACTCAAGCCAGTAACAAGACAAGTTCTGGCTGCCTGACCAAACCTCCGGCATAGCTGGCAAGACCTCCGTCCTAATTTTGTGGTTTCATGTGAAAACATGGCATGGGTGAGGTGATAAGAACAAATTTAACAGGGAGTTTAGGGAAGGAAGCTGTCGGGGAAAAAACTTGACATCCACTAATTCTTGAACCCATAATGAGATATCTACGTGGCTGAAACATGGAGAATTCCACTCAGGCCAGCACTGTGCACTAAGCACTCATTGAAGAGCTATGTTAGTGTACCTTGAACAGTGCAGATTGATGGTACGTGAAGAAAAACTAAGTTTGTACAGCCAGAGAAGTGCAGACTCTCATTGTTTAGGCAGGCTAGTACAAATGGGCATTCTTAATGCTTCCCTTCCGCTACATTTGATGTCTTGCAATTTGACGTCCTGCACCAGTGCTGACACCATGTACAGGTTTCCTTGACAGACAAATAAAAAATAACCAGTGTCCCACTCTGAAAGAGAAGCCCCACAGGGAACTTAAGTGTGATAATAAAAGTGAGTAGCAGCAAACACTGTCTGAACTGTCAGGTTATAAACAATGCTCGTGAAACCTTCAAGGCCAGGATCAATAAAAGGAAAGGCCATCGCTCTTGAGAGGCAAGCGCCATTAGAAAAATAAAAAGCTTTCTGTCTCAGAGCATTTATGTCTAGATTTCACGTTCCACTGCTTCTTCCATTGCCTTATAGGCTAAACAACCAAGTTCACTTCTATTTCCAGTGCTGCAACAGCGAAACCAAGCCACAGACTGCCTGCTAAGGCATTCCATGACCTTGAAACATATTCTGTAGAGCCATGTGACTACTTCACATAAATGTCCAAGATCACCAACATTTAGTGCTTAGGTTTTCCCACTACAACAGTCAATTTCCTAATGCACAGATACGCCTTTTCCATTTGAAAGGATTTCCAATGTTTCCAGACTTATATGCAAATTAGACAACAGAGTGTACCCATCTCTCTGATCTTTATGGAAACTAGCTTTGTTTTGCTATAGCAGTAGAACACTCTACTCCAGTTTCATTGCTGCAAGCCATGTCTAAAAAAGTAAAAATAATCTCTTAGCACAGCCATTTTCCTGGTAACCATGTCCCAGGAGATTTTGCCTTTCTCCTGTTTTGTTCTTATTTGGTTGAAAATTACTAATCACTAGTGACTGCTCCCGTATTTTTCATGTTAACTGTTCTTCTTCTCACCAATACAATCTTTGCAAAATTATTTTTGTTGGAAAAAAGTATATTTCATTGTAAATTTTGGGCAGGTGACTAAACTGCCATGATCTTTTTGTATTTAGGTAAATGAACCCATCTGTGCCTAGGAAAAATGATTTTTCAAGGTGAGATTAATCTAACTTCCCAAATATTGTGGAGATGCCTTTTGTTCAAGACATTGGGATACTAGGTCTTTAACAGGGTCCTCCTATGCATACGTCAGCTGGCTGAGATCACATGCTGATAGGGTTTAGCTTGTGTAAATACTGAATTGTGCAAAGTGAAAGCCAGCTTAATGCCTCTGACCACAGCTTTTTGAATAGCCCCTAATCATCTAAGAAATAACACTCTTAAAAAAAAAAATTACTTTTCAGTCTTTGCCATTTGTTTTTCCCATATAACTCTAGTGAGGCTGAACGGGTCACCAATGCAAACTAATAGCTCACATCAAAAAGCAACTGTCATACTGAAAAGGAGATTCTATGAACTGTATAAGTTTAGAGCAAAAGCATCATCTGTGAAAGTTCTCACTTGCTAACAAAGAAGCTGTCTGACCTATTATGCTTAATAGTATTTCATATCACTTCATGCCATTTTTCTTCTTTTAAGAATAGATCTTAATCATCTGCATCTATTATCTATGCAAGCATATTTCAGTCTGTGGAACACTCCATTACTGCTTACTTTGGCTGCTCATTATCCACATAAGTTGATTATCTGAATCACATACTATTGTTTTGGAACCCAGAGACAAGGCAAGCCTTAAAAAATAAAACAAACAATAGATAGAGCAAGAAAGCAATAAATAATTGTACTTCCACTAGAATTATGTGGACAAAGAATAATGTATACCACAATAAATAAAGTATTTTCAGACTGCTCAAGCTTTAAGAAAAACTAACAATTACTTCAATCATTAAACAGTAAATAAGCTGTCCTGGATGCTGTAAAACTTTTTTTTTTTTTGATGATGTGGCCACTACAGTTGCTAGTGTTGTAATTTAAAGGTCAGCAAGTACAAAAGCACAACAATTACTCACATGAAATATCCCTGCCAACACTTGATTAATATTACTGTTTTAAGTGACTTGCATCTGTGATATGTATTAGAATAACCTGGTTTTGTTAGTCACAGATTTGGGAACCCTTCCTCTGTGTGGAAGGAGAGGTGATGGTTTGTAGTTTTAAATGCCAGGCCATAGAGGCAGCCACTGGACCACTTTTCAGGTCCAATATGCAGGAAAATTAACTCCAAATGTGCAACAAGCCAAAGCACAATAAGAAACATTTTCTCTCAATGTAGAAACACAAGGATCAAATAGAAAAGCAGACAGAAGTTCTAAAATTATCAGAAAGGATTTTCCTTAACTTTGAAATACAAAATAATCCAGAACAATGTAAAAAGATATCGAACATATATTCATAATATCACTAGCATTCATTGAATGGAGCAAAAAGAAGCTGGAGTGGGCCATTGGATGAGAATTCAACTACATGCATCAAGATAGTGCCCCACCTTCCCTCAACAACTTTGGAAGACCATTTTTTCTGGCTTCTGATATAAAGTCCATTTTAGTACGTTTAGGATTAGGCTCCTGGTCTCTCTTCAATTTTGGTTGAAAATCTTGCCTAAGCACACTAGAGGCACACATGCACATCATACGAGGTGGCAGAAATTATTCCGTGCAGCTCCCTACCTCTCTTGCATTCATTGAAACAGCCAGACCACACTCATTGAGAAAAGTCTCAAAGATTTTTACAGAAAATCTGTAACATCTGAAAATCTGAAAAGCTTTAAATTAAACTCTTTTCCAGGAAATATATAAGTCTACCCAGTGTTCTCACAGAAGCTAACAAATATGTTGCAATTTTGTTAGCATCTTTCTACTTCATGTACTTATTTTATACATTATCTGGAACACCCACTTAAAGATAAACTTGAGAGTTTGTGGGAAAAAGCCACGTGGGAAATTCAGCCATACGTTTTCCTTTAGAGTACCCTGCTCTGTCTTGGAAACCTCAGCTAAAGATCTTTTTTCCTTAGGTATTAGTCTGTTCCTGATATTGCTTAGCTCTACTGCATATTCATGTATGAGATTTTCTGGTATATTCTCAGAAATTGTACTTCCACATTACAACCTGCTTTCTGTACCAGTCTTTGCTTAGCCTGTGTAAAAATTATCTTCTCCACAACACAATAACAATAGCAGTTACTTTGCTTTATATAATTATGGAGCTTTAAATATTAATGCAACTATTACAGAAACTCTCTGTGCAAGGTTATCTGACTTGAGAACAAGTTTTCTTGGAAGCAACATTAACCAGGAAAAGTTAAGGGACCTGTTACATGAAAAGATTCTGCTTTCTCAATGGCAAGACAACTTTTATCACATCTCTATGAGAAAGTCTGCCCTCTCCATGTTCTACTGATTTCCTTTCCCGCACTCAAGCCACACCTTTCTTATTCTGTCAGATGCAGAGGGGCTACTTTCAAACTCACAAGTGCCAGACCATTAACACAAATTCTCAGCCTGCTGTGATTATTCGCCCTGTGAATGACAGGTTCCTCCCATGCACTCATAACACTTGTTATGATGGTCATTTCTAGAATAGTCATTCATAAATTAACAAACAAAACTGTGTGTTGTCCACATGGGAATAAGCAAAAGAAACAGCACTGTTGGATTTATTTTTTAACAGAAGCTTGAATGGATATGGGATTACACCTGTATTCAATAGGCTAAATTCAACACAGATACACTCAACATATCAACCATACTGATTTCTACAAGAATCGGAGCAGATTTTGGCTTTCCATCTCGTTATCTGTGCCATGAACACTTCAAATAAATCTAACAGAGATAAAACACTTATATCTCTTAGTCACAAGTTTCACAGGATGCCCTTAGGAATGCAAGCACTTTAACTTATATCAACATACTTCTGAAGAGTGAGGCTCAAGTTGTGGCTGGCTGACTTGATCTTGTTCTGGGCCTCTAAGTGGGTCATGCTGTCAGTGTTGACTCCATCAATGGCTACCACAAGGTCCCCTTGGTTCATCTGTGACTGTGCTGCCTTGCTGCCAGGGGTGATCTGTGTGGAGAAAAAAAGAAAAAAAAAATCATATCAGGATAAGTCGTTCCGTACACAAAGCACTTATAGAGAACTCACCCAGAATTATAATGAGGAATAGATACAGCAATAGACACAACACTAGCTGTATCTATTATTGAAAAGAAAATTTATGGAAATTAAACAAACTCAACGTTAACTCACATTTCTGCAAAGCTCCAGGACAACATCTACTTGTCATTACTTCCATTTTGAGAGGTTAAGCCCAATGTAGGGGTTCCCTTACCACATATTATCTCCTCCTCAAAGGGATAATTATCACTATTTATATTGGAGTAGCATACAGAGACATTACTCAGAAGTGGAAAACTAATGAACCGCTATCTACTGCGTGATTTGATTGTACTTTTCCTCCTAAAAGCCATTTTTCCCAAATTAATTCATTACATTGAATGGACCAAAAATGAATGTGTGTGAGGGGCCTTGGACATGCTTTGCTTCTTTTATAGCAAGCTTTATAGGAAATCATTTCACTTAACCTTACCCACATACAACTATGTCTCCATTACCAAGACAGATTACTACATACCCAAGATGACCTCATCAACCTGTTGGACCTGACACTCCAAAGACAGACCAGCACTTTTAGAAAAAAGAAGCCACAACACTTCAACTACAAACCCAACTACTGAGACAACAGTTCAGAAATTCTGATTGTTCGCTATGGCATCACATTTTGTTAGCTTTGGATACCTTGTCAACTGCATCTTCTCCGAATGCACGGTATCCTGACCTCAATTTTACACAGCCCCCTCAGCTTGCATCTGGGTGACATTGATACAGCACAGCTACTTATGAAACTTGACTCCATTAGGGAGTTCCAACTAAACCAGAAGGGCCTTCACATACCATCAGCCAGACAAATTTTAGTGTGCACATCAGAGTTGTCCTCTGCTTTCAGCGCTCAGTACTTAAAGGGTACAGACATAAGCTACAGGTCTTTGCTCTTATTTTCAGGTACTCACTTCCTTACATTCCTCACTTCTAAAAAAAACCCCAAGGATAATCTAAAATACTACAACAAAGGCTGCAGTCAAAAACTCTGTTCCTTCAGCACAGTGGACATAAAAGAAAGATGTGTCGGATTATGAGCCAAAATTCCCCTGTGAATTCAGCCAGGCTGAAACTGTGAAGTTAAATTCCTAAGGAAACCAAAACCAGACACAAATCCAAACACTTTTCCTCATCAAGCGTGAAGTGAAATTCCTTAACCTGCCTTCCCTAATATGACCTCAACACACTTAAAAATATGTACATACTCAAAAGAAAGAAGTCCTTCCAAAACTATAGCCTAGACTGCTTGTTTGTGCTCTTCCAAAAAAGGAAAAAAAACCCCTTTCTTAACACCCTGTTAAAGGTGCTCAGTATTGAGGCCAGCAGTCTAATTAACAGTGTAATCTGACAATGGGAGTTGTCTATTTACTAGAACACAAGCTCTAGTATCAGGGTGCTAGAACACAGCATCCTGAATACTTGGACACTGTACTTAAAAATAGAGATTACTTTGGAATTAGGCACTGTAAATAACATCCCAGAACTGATCTGTCTGGAAGAGACAGCTTTCTATACCTTTTCATTAGAGGTAAAAGCAATGAGAGTTCTATATTTTCTGAGGACAGCCACAGATATAATGTTCTCATGCAGAGTAGAGTGATTGATAACGGCAGCGCCATTCCCTGATGTATTTTTCTGATGTTAAGGAATTGAGGGGTGGGGGAAATACTTTGTGGTAGTTTCAATAATGGACTTTTCTTCTGCAGTCTAATGCACCCTCATAGAAAGAGATTAGTAGAAACAAGAGATTCATATTACAAGCATAGTCCTCCTAACCTATTATACAAACATTAGCTTCTACGCATTTGCATTGTGCGAAGTACACAGAATCTAGAAGCCTACAAAGATTATGGATTATTTGCATACCCACAGGTACTTGTATAGTTACTGGAAGACCCTTTCCTGCTCAGTCCCCCAAATATGTCAAGAAACAGAATCTGCAATAAAATAAGAGGTCAGGAAAAGGCAAAACATGAACAAACCCCAAATTTAGATAAATCAGTCAGTAAGACTTGAATTAATCAAGTAGGACACTTCAGTCTCTCAATTTATGCTTTTTCTCTATTAACATAAACTGCTTGCCAGTCAGGTAGACACCAAGGCTTGAGTCTTCTTGATAAAAGATTTTTTATAAATAATCTTCACACATCACTTTTCTAAAAGACACCACTGTTTACCTCCTCATGAAACATGCAAGTTCTTGCCACAAATCGTTAACTGTGTGGTACTGATACTTCCAGTCTCCAGACAGCTGGTTCCAAATGCTGGGAACTCCCTCTTTCGTTCATAAAGAACAAAGACTAGTTTTTGAACATCAACCCAGTTACTGAAAGTCAAATGTCTGCCCTAATTTGGGAATTCTTACTTAACACATACATCTCTCCTTCCACTCCCCAGCGATGCTTCAAACAAAATAAGCCCAGAGAAGCAGAGCTTCCACAGAAAGGCTAAAGAAGTTTCGATCTGGGACTAGTTTAAGATAGCTGTAACATACTGACTTCCCTCTCAGATTCTCAGATTTCTGCTTTTTGCAGCCCCAAATTTAAATTTTATATCTTAAAATAAAGATACAGCAGGTAACTACAACTGTCCTAGAATTAGAATAAAATTTAGAGGGAGGGGATGTTTATAACTAGTGACCTGATTTCATTTACTCTAGTGGGATATTTTCTGCCTAACACTTTTAGAAAACACTACCTAAATGAAAAATATATTCATCAGACAAAATGTCCTGGGTAACTTCGAATTTGTGATTTATATGAATTTCTAACTATGGCCATTGCAACACCCTTTCTGAGCCAAAGAGCTATGGGAGAACTATATCGGGAAAGATAAGGGAATGGTCTCAATCATGGCTTACCAGCCAGTGTTCCTTTATTTGAAAGCGAAATGATAGGGATTTGTAGTCTTCTCTTCAGCTAAGTATAATGGTAACAAATTCTGGGCTGGATTCCTTCTTACAGCTCTACCTTTCCAATTCCCGTTTCAGGGGCCAGCGCTCCACTGATGTCACTTTACCTCTAAAATTCAACTTATTCTAGCTTCATAGACAGTAAGACTCACAAGTATAAAAGATGGATCTAATTTATTGTATCTGTAATTCAGAACAATAATAAGTATCAGGAAAGAGTTACTTCTTCCCTCAGTCTTCCCACTGGGTAAGAGCATGCTATGTAGATTATTTGGTTCTGTAGAGCTTTATATAGAAGGCATTATTAACGTCTGGATGTATAATCTGTATAAAATATTCAAATCAAAGTACAAAATTACACCTATTTTAGTTAGAGGCTAACAGGCTTCTCTGTGAGGTTTTCAAGTGAAACCACAGTGTGCATTTACAGCAGACATTGAGAACAGTCAGTAATTGTTGGGGACAAAATACCAGTGTACAGATGGAGATATAGGGCAGCCAGATCTGAAGTGTCAAGGCACATTCAAGACTATCTTGTTCCCATTTTTAAAGACCCATCAGAAAGGAATGGAATGCAAAGTGTTTATCTGTTGGTATTTTCCTTTGAAAATTCATCTCTGATCTACTAAAAATTTACTAAATATAATCACAAAGAGAAGTAATCACTGTGCCTTTGTGAAATCTTTACGGATGGCTTTCTATTTAAAAAGGTTTTTAAAAAATATTTTTAAGTGAAGGGTGAATGTTAATTAACCCTTGGAATTAGACTGCAAATTCAGTTCTGTCTACACAGTAAGTTCTAGTTTGCTCTCATCTCTGCCTCTTCTATTAACAAAAGTAGAGAAATATAGTACTATCTAGGCCAAATATGCATTTTTCAATTTGAACACAAATGTTTTTTTCTTAAAACATCTCTGGGCAAGGTCTAGACAGAACTATTTCAGAAAATCTTTCTCATAGTCTTAACTCACTTGCTCTGGATTACAACATAGCTTTCAGATGCTAGGTGTTGCAAACGCCTTTATTTAAGGCTACAGTGAGATGTTCGCCGGAGATTGAGGGTATAGCTGTTTCTGTCAACTGATTTACAAAATCCAAGCCAGGGTACCACTGACAGATCTAATTTTAATAGTGTTTCTTTAGCGCCTTAAGCCCAAGCACAGAATTCATCTTGAAAAGCCAAGCATCTTTCACCTCTCTCAGCAAAGCAGAGGAACACTCGCTGCTTCAGAGATGTGAATTTTCAGCCCTCGCAAATTTCCTACAAGGCAGACATTTGACTTCCAATATCCCCAGCTTAAAGCAAGTGGGCAGGCTGGAAGTATCACATGTTGCTTTCAATGCACAACAGAGAATTCTTACTATGCTCTGTTGTGAGCAGATCTGTATACTGGGTGAATATATAGCACAACAGTGACAGCTGTGCCCTAAAAATTAAGTCTGCACTGGGTTCAGAGTAAATACTACTTAGCAGGAGCTCTGGGAGGCAGTGTACAAAGTGCAGCTGCTGCACCACCTTGAGAACAGCATGTGTTCCCATCCAAGCCCCCTCAGCTCCACTCCAAAGGGGGAGAGAGGGATCAGGCAGCATTTGAGTGGCTGAGTGTTAAAATACTAATGAGAATGCTTGTATAAACAGATGGATGGACACAGCTTTCCTACCCCAAGGAACTCCTAATTTACAAGGCAGGCAAAAATACATAGGGAGGCCTATACAACTGAGATAGTGTTAATATGGTAGCTTGCAGCATTAGCCAGGGCCTCTTATTTTTCCAGGACTTGAGCTATGCCTGACCCCAACCCCAAAATCAACAAGTTATATTTTCCTCTTCTCATTTAAGAACAACATCTTAGAGAATCAAGTATTCACAAGCACTAGAAATACGCTAAAGCACTGGGAATGAATACCCTCTCCTCTTCAGGATCTCTGGGATAGAAGAAAATATGAAAAGAAAATGTTCCTTTCCATAGTCAGAAAGGCTAGAGATCAGAGACA